GCCCATCGGGGGAGTCGATGGTGACGGTGAGGACGGCGTCGTAGGCCAGGCGCAGCTTGGTGTTGTTGGCCAGGACGGGGTAGGGCAGGCGGTGGTAGGGCAAGGGGAAGGTGAGGGTGTCGTAGGGGATGAAGACGTAGGTGCCGTCGGTCATGCCCATGTCCTCAGCCTTCTCCAGGAGCACCCGTTGCTCCTCGCCGCCCAGCAGGACCGAGTGCATGCACATCACCACCACTGGGGGGTGGGGGGAGGGGCAGACACGTCACCATGGGGCCACCTTGGCCACCTCCACCACCGGTTGGTGGGAGCTCCCCAGCCGACCTTCAGCTGGCAGCCAGGCCCACCAGCTCTGGAACTTCATCCAGCCACCTCCAGCCTTCCTCCCCCTCCTCCTCTTCCATCCAGCCTTGGCCATCTCTATCCAGCCATGTCCTCCACCTCCATCCATCTATGCCCACCTCCTCCATCCATCCATGCCCACCTCCAGCCACATCCATCTCCATCCATCCATGTCCTCCATCTCCATCCATGTCCATCTCCATCCATCCATGTCTACCTCCTCCATCCATCTCCTACACCTCCATCCATCCTTCTCCACATCCACCACCTCCGTCCATCCACATCCATCACCTCCATCCATCCATGCCCACCTCCATCCATCCATGTCCTCCACCTCCATCCATCCACATCCACCACCTCCATCCATCATCTCCCACCTCCATCCACGCCCATCTCCCCCATCTCCACCCATCCTTCTTCTCACACCTTCTCCACCTCCTCCATCCATCCATGTCCTTCACCTCCATCCACCCATGTCCTCCACCTCCATCCATCTTTCTTCTCCTTCTTCTCCCACCTTCTCCACCTCCTCCATCCATCCATGTCCTTCACCTCCATCCACCCATGTCCTCCACCTCCATCCATCTTTCTTCTCCCACCTTCTCCATCTCCTCCATCCATCTCCATCCATCCATGCCCACCTCCTCCGTCCATCATCTCCCACTTCCATCCACGTCCACCACCTCCATCCATCATCTCCCACCTCCATCCATCCATGCCCACCACCTCCATCCACCCATGTCCTCCACTTCCATCCATCCTTCTTCTCCCACCTTCTCCATCTCCTCCATCCACCTCCATCCATCCATGCCCACCATCTCCATCCATCATCAAAAAAAAATGCCCCCACTCCCCCCACCCCACCCCACCCCGTTACCTCGCACGCCGTCCGCCCTCTGCACCCTCCTCAGAGCTGCCCGGGCCTCATCCTCCTGTGTCCCAGCTGTGGTGACCACGGTGATGGGAAGTCCCCGCGCCCGAAGGTCCTGGGCCAAGCCCTGCCCCACCTCGCGCCAGAGATCCTGTGGGGCGGAGATGATGGCCACGTGGGCCCACCGGAAGAAGCGGAGAAGAGCGTGGAGCACCCCAGAAGGTTCCGGCATGGGTTTGACCAAGGTCTCCAAGCCTTCGACATCTCCCACACAAGCCCAAGAAGCCAAGGGTTTGTTCCAAGCGGCCGCCAAGAGCCCGGCGGCTCCGCAGGTGGCCGGGTTGAGAGGTCCCACCAGACCGGTGGCGTAACGGTCAACGTTGAGAAGCCCCGTCACGGCTTGGGGGGTCTGGCAAGCTTCGGCCAACACCACCGCGTCCCACCAGAAGCCTTCGTTGAAGTTTGGGTCCCGGTTGAGACGGGTGACGGCCAAGCGAGAGGCCACCTCGGGCAAAGCCCGGGCTAGGAGGGGGTCGCAGGTCCAAGGACCCATCACCCCCACCTTGAAGGTGGCCTCCTGGGTTGGGGGTGGGTGGAGGAGGAGAAGGAGGAGGAGGAGGAGGAGGTGGGGAGGCCACCGAGGGTGGTGGGAGAGGCGGAGGAGAAAGCTGGTGGAGATGGCACCATGGCGGGAGCGAGTGGTTTGGGAGGTGCCACCACCGTGGGAGATGTCACCACTAGGGGAGATGCCACCACTGTGGGAGATGCCACCACTGTGGGAGATGATGTCATGGGAGATGTCACCACTGTGGGAGATGTCACCACTGTGGGAGGTGCCACCACTGTGGGAGGTGATGTCATGGGAGATGTCACCACTGTGGGAGATGTCACCACTGTGGGAGGTGCCACCACCGTGGGAGATGATGTCATGGGAGATGCCACCACCGTGGGAGATGCCACCACCGTGGGAGGTGATGTCATGGGAGATGTCACCACTGTGGGAGATGTCACCACTGTGGGAGGTGCCACCACTGTGGGAGGTGATGTCATGGGAGATGTCACCACCGTGGGAGTTGCCACCACTGTGGGAGATGCCACCACTATGGGAGATGTCATTGCCATGGGAGATGCCACAACCGTGGGAGATGCCACCACCGTGGGAGATGCCATCATGGCAGATGCCACCATGGGAGGTGCCAGCGTGGGAGATGCTGGTGGTTTGGGTGACACCATGGCTGCGGGAGATGATGTCACTATTCTGGGCGATGCCACCACCATGGGATGTGCTGCTGGGGTGGGAGATGCCACCAGCCTGGGAGATGGCATTAAGGGAGGTGCCACCACTGTGGGAGATGATGTCATGGGAGATGCCACCACTGTGGGAGGTGCCACCACCATGGGAGATGTCATTGCTGTGGGAGATGCCACCACCGTGGGAGATGTCACCGCTGTGGGAGACGATGTCATGGGAGATGCCACCACCATGGGAGATGTCATTGCTGTGGGAGATGCCACCACTGTGGGAGATGCCCCCATGCAAGATGCCACCGCTCTGGGAGATGACGTCATGGGGGACGCTGCCAGTATGGGGCACGCCACCAGCAAAGATGTCACGGCAGGAGATGCCAGCGTGGCAGAAGCCACCACAGAAAAAGTCATCACGGGAGATGCCACCACTGTGGGAGATGCCACCAC